AGTCCATTTACAAGAAACAATGCCAGCAGAGATGGTGTCCCTGGAGTAGGGTGCATTGCTCTTAGAAGCACTCAGCCTCTTAATGTGATGAAACTATTATAATTGGTCATTGGAAGATGATTGTGGCAGAGAGATGTGCTGCTCACATTGCCCTGCAAGAAAAAATTTGCTACCGGTCTGCAAGGAGCAGGGTTAGCTAGTGACCCGAGGTGGTCAATGCCTTCAGCTCTCCAGCCATAGTCAGCTCTTATCCCCAGCCAGTGACTGAGCAAGGTGGTGGTATGAGGACCTAGCCATTTTCAGGCCCGCCAGACCCCTCTAATGTGCCATCTTTGCTCTGGAGCTTCGCTAAGCTTGTAGAGACTTTCAGCTTTGTAGGATGGTCTGAGGCTCCCTGCCCACCCCCATTTCCTCATTTCCCTCCCACAGATGTTCTGTTCCAGTAAACGGGGGAAGTCCTAATTCCACCACAGTATCCATCCCCAGAGAACTCAGCCTGCAGTGATCATTGTTCATCTGTCATCAGACATACTGAACTAGCCTCTGTAATCAATTTTTCAGTGAAGGGAAGTATGAGTTAGAACCATAAAACAGATGTGAATGGAGTCCATCTTTTTTTCTTCAGTCTGGAAACCTCCTAGGTCATCTCCAGGCTGTGCTTTTTCTGGACTCTGGAGTTGTTCATTTGGTTAGCAGCAGCCTGACTGCTGAGACCCCGTTCCATATTCTCAGGTCCAGAGTTGTCAATTTTCTCTTTGCTTGCGATGTTTTCCGTAACTGTAGATAGCACTGTGGGTCCTGTACTCCTGTCTGTGTCCTTGTCTGCAGCTCATGGGCATGTTGAGGTGTCCATTCTGTTGGTAGGACAGTGCTCGCATGGGTTCTTGTTAAAATACTCCATAGATGACGGACTTCTGACCCCCTTTTACTATATGGAACTTAAAACACAACCTGGTTTTTGCCCTTACTACCTTTTGTGTATTACTCATCTAATATACATATTGGTATATATTGCAAGGGAAGACCTACTTGATTTTTTCCTTCAAGGAGCCATTTACTTGCCTCTGCACAATTTATAGATCGATCAATCCTGCCTGGTGTTTGACAGCTGGCTGACAAAGGTTATGGGTTCTTCAGGCAACAGCTAATGTTGAGTTCACTTGATTTAATGCTGAAGTTGCTTTTCTTATATTTTCATTTGCATGTTTTCTTGTATTTTCCAGCATCTTTTAACTTTTTCTAAGTAGTTGTACATACAGTCATAAGTATTTTTCTTTTTTTTTTAAGATTTTATTTATTTATTTGACAGAGAGAGATCACAAGTAGGCAGAGAGGCAGGCAGAGAGAGAGGGGGAAGCAGGCTCCCCGCTGAGCAGAGAGCCCGATGTGGGGCTCGATCCCAGGACCCTGGGATCATGACCCAAGCCGAAAGCAGAGGCTTTAACCCACTGAGCCACCCAGGCGCCCCTATTTTTAATTTCTTAAAAAAAACCTGCAAAACACCTGGCACATTGAAAACTTCTTTGACCTGTGCATGCCTGCCTCCAGCTTCTGCTCTTCCTTCTTCATCCCTTTTTTTTTTTTTTTTTGAAGATTTATTTATTTATTTGAGAGAGAGGGAGAGAGAGAGAGAGAACATACACAAACACCGGAATCAGTAGAGGGAGAGGGAGAAGTAGACTCCCTACTGAGGAAGGAGCTTGACTCTGGGCTGGATCCCAGAACCCTGGTCTAATGACCTGAGCCAAAGGCAGATGCTTAACCAGCTGAGTCACCCAAGTGCCCCTTCTTACTTCATCCTTACTGTCTTTGGAGAATTTCAGTGCACCAATATCCTCATTTCATTTCCTTTTAAGCCCTCTCAGAAGGATCTTATACACACACATCTTCCGCAGCTACCTATATCCTGTTACCCTCCAAATCCTGCTTCTGCCCTCCAGGGCCATGTATCGAATTGGATAGAATATCTCGTCGAATAAGTCCATTGACACCTTCAGTTCCAGAATGTCCAGAATCGAACTTGACATGCTTCAGTTCTGGGATTTCTTCTGGATTTGATATCTTAGATAGAAGTGTGGCCATCTGCTGAGCCACTGGGAAATCATTCCTGAGTCCTCCATTCACCACAAGTACTCTAATCACGATCTTGACAGGTTTACCTCCTGAGTATCACTATTACGTGCTTCTCTTTATTTTGCTGACCTTTGTCCAGGCCACTTCATTCCTTGTCTGAAATGCTACCATTGCCTCTTCCTTGATATCTCTGCCTCTCCTCTCAGCCATCTTAATTTCCTCTCTAGCTGGAACCCATTCAGTGACTGCACAGTGCTCCCTGAGATCATGGCCTCTCTTGCCTCTCCAGGCCCTTCTCCTCCCCTCCTCACCTACCTGCCAGCCAAGTGGGCTCTCTTGCTGCTGCTGTTCCTTTCAGGTACCAGGCTGTCTTTGCCTCTTGGCCTTCACACATGCTCTTCCTTTTGTTCCTGTTCTCCACTAGGCTAATTTAATTAATTCTGTAAATCTCCACTCAGGAGTCTTTTTCTCCTGGAACCATTCTGTGAAGCTTCTACTGAGATTAGGTGCTTTCCCCGCCCCTCCACAGCTCCTCAGGGAAACTTCTTTTTTTTTTTTTTTTTTTTTTTAATTTGACAGAGATCACAAGTAGGCAGAGAGGCAGGCAGAGAGAGAGGAGGAAGCAGGCTCCCCGCCAAGCAGAGAGCCCCATGTGGGGCTCAATCCCAGGACCCTGGGATCATAACCCAAGCCGAAGGCAGAGGCTTTAACCCACTGAGCCACCCAGGTACCCCTCCTCAGGGAAACTTCTCTCAGGCTTTTATTTCCTCTGGAATGGTCTTTTCTTCATCCTCTCTCTTGCCCACTAAACACGAAACCTTTATAAGGAGGAACGAAGTAGTTCGTGAATATTTACTTTTTTTCTGCATTGCAGATGCCAAGCTTGGTATCAAATGTGTAGGTATTTTTCAGTAAATGGGGTTTGATGTGCATGTGCCCATTGTGTGTTTATAAGTGCGTTTGAGTGTGAACACGTAGTCAAACAAGATATAAGATACCCTGTAGAGTTATGGGCTATGAGATACGGAGCTGACATGTTCTTGAGGAAGTCTGAAGTGGAAATGTAGGCTAGAACTCCTGTGAGTGATTGTCAGTATGTGATCAGGTTCATACTGCTTTTCATATGTATAATTAGAAATAGTCTTCAGTGTAGTCTGTGTAGAATTTTCATCCGTGTAGATGTGTGGTGTAAAGAATTTATAACAAAGACTGTAACTAAATGCATTTATACTTTCTTGTTTATGTTTGTCAAATCTTGAAAAATTAGTTCTTTTCAATTATACAGCTTTTTATTTTTTTGTTTAGATTTTCTTTACTAAGTTTAGGGTTTTAAAAATGCCCACACATTTTAATATATTTTCATGTAAATATCATTAAATCAATGACCTGTAGGGAAAGATCAGGTCCATCTTATGTTAATGTGAACAGAGGACCATAGCAAAGATTAGGAAACTTGTAATACTCAAAACAGTTGTCCAAGTGAAAAGCCTGCATTATTCTTCTCCTGATTATTTGAGCACATGCTGTGTGCCAGCCATGCTCTTGGTGCTGGGGATGCTTCAGAGAAAAAAGACAGAGATGTTCTTTTTCTCAGGGCTGACACTCTCGTGGAGGGAATACCGCCTTTAAATGAGTGAAGATGAAGATGACTTCAGGGAGGGGCAAGGGTTAAGAAGACGACAGAAGTGGTGGTAGAGAGAGCATCAGAGTAGTGGTGAGGTGGTGCCCAGAAAGAAAGAAGGCCCAGAAAGGCCCCTGTGGGGAGGTGGTGCCTGCAGTGAGAGGAATGGTGAGGTAGCACCATAGGCACAAGGCTGTGGGTGGAAAAGCCTCCAGGGGGAGAAGGAGTCCGTGCTGTTAAAGCCCCCGCATCTGATGGAAGTTTACCTGTCATGCCTTTTCTCAGAACATCAGGAGATGTTCTTACATGTTCATGGTTGTTAAATGGGAACAAATGAAGTAAGACAAGTATATGTTACTGACCCAGGGGGAAGTTAAGACAAGAAAATGAAAACAAAACCAAACCTCAGGCTGCCTCAGATGGAGGAGGCAATTGATGAGCTGGGAAATGTACTTATTCAGGAGATCTGGATATACATGTTTTACCTTCATCTTTTTCAGTGTTAGACTAGATAAACCTGGAATGGGGATTTGTTATGGTCAAATAGGGATGTGTTATCAATACCAAGAAATATATTTTGATCAGTTTTTGGATTTCTAAATTTCTTAACAAGGTGGTTGCTGAGAAAGTACAAAAAATCTTATGACCCAAGAATAACTTGCCAAAACTTATTGGAAAAATAAGTGGGGGAAAAAAAGAAAAAGGTCATTTGGGGTTTTTTTGGAAAAGCTACTTTTATTAGCTAAATACTCTTGTATGTCATTCATTCATTCCTTATTGTATCTTCCAATATGTGGGGTGAAGGGTGTGGAATTCCTAATTGCAATCCTAAACTTATTTTTAGCTACTAATTTCAAGAAATTCTTGACAGTAATTTCATTTTGTTAACCCACTGTATGTTCACAGTCTTTTTTTTTTTTTTTTTAAAGATTTTATTTATTTATTTGTCAGAGAGAGAGAGAGCACAGGCAGACAGAATGGCAGGCAGAGGCAGAGGGAGAAGCAGGCTCCCTGATGAGCAAGGAGCCTGATGTGGGACTCGATCCCAGGACGCTGGGATCATGACCTGAGCCGAAGGCAGCTGCTTAACCAACTGAGCCACCCAGGCGTCCCTTACAGTCTTATCCTTCTGGACGTTCATCTTTCTTCCTGACACTGGTCCTTGTCCAGAGACTAATAATGATGATAATGGGAAGGGAAAGTGGAAGGTAAAAAATGAAGTGTGTAGTTCATATATAGTACTATCATGAAGTGTGTAGTTCATTTTGTCTTTATATATTAACAATTTTTTACATTTGTTTTATAGAAAATACTGCAATTTCTACCTGAACGAATTTTCTTTCGATGGCATTACCAGAGTATAGGTAAGAAAATTTAAAGATTTCTAAAATTACAGATTTTTTTCCAGTTGACTTTTCAGTAATGTTTTATGTAATTGGCACCTTCAATACTAGGTTACAACAAGGAATGGTAACAAGGACATGCTGGTTAAATGTAAGACAAGTCCCACCTGGACTTTGGAGGAAAATAGAATATCTATCCCTGTGCCAAAAGTGCTTCTTAGAAAGGATGTTCGCAGACCAGCAGCACTGGCCTCACCTGAGAGCTTGTTAGAAAACTCTGAATGTCATGCCCCAGCCGGACCTACCAAATCAGTCTGCATTTTTAACAAGAGCTCCAGGGGATTCTTGTGCACCAAATTGTTTGACAAATATTTGATCCAGAGTATTTTTTTAAAATTTTTATAAACATATAATGTATTTTTATCCCCAGGGGTATAGGTCTGTGAATCGCAGGGTAATCCAGAGTATTTTTGAGTAACTTTTTGTTTTTTTCTTATAAAAATATCTTGTTCTCCAAGACTTTCTCACTGATGCAGAGTTCTTCTGTTTGAAAGCTTTCAGGTGTGGCAGCAGGAGGGAACTTGAAATATAGCCAAGTTAGCATCGCTGCCCTTTCTGTGCAGCCGTCGACATTGAACAGTGTTTCCTCTCAATGTAATATTCATGGCACAACTCGTGTAATTTGTGCTATTGACTGTGACTCCTGCTTTCTGTTTAAAGAATGTCTGGTTTGGTCTTTCTCCCTGTTTTCCTCCTTGCCAGATAATCACATTGAGGAGAACGTAACGTCATAATGGGATCTTAACTCCCTCATCATTCATTCATTCAAATACCTATTGAGGTAGAAACAAAGTTCTGGGACAGAAACAAAGACTATTTCACCATGCTTGTATGGTATAAGCTGATTGCCAGGGTCGGGGATAAGTTTGAAAAAAAAAAAATACAGTATAATTGCCACTACGAAAAATGTACTAATGGTAGCAATGAAGAAAGTTGAACAATTCTCTTAACAGGACTTGAGGAAGGCTTCAAGAGAGGTAATCTCTACCTGAGCCTTGACATAGAAGTGTGGAAAGGGTTTCCTAGATGGGAGATTGATCTGTGAAAGACCTGGGACCTGAAAGAACATGGCACTTTCTGTGGATATTTCAAGATTCAGAATCCCAAATTTCATTTAGTCCTACTTCGTGAAAAATATAATGGACCCTTCTATAAACGGAACTGTTCGGTGAAGTCTATGTAATAAATACATCGACTGAACTGAATGATTAAATCATTACTTGAAGGTAGATGCCTTGGTCTTTAAATCTTTCAAATACACAAAGAAGGTTTTCCTTTAAATTATAGTGTTATTGGTAGCATTTCTTTTAATTGATACTTGATGTTTTGTATTTAGGGTAAAAATCTAAAAATCAAATGGTAAGTATAATCTGAAGAGGAATAGTAGGGACTTGTAATACTCCGTGGTGTTGCAGGAATGGATGAAAATGAGAATAAGTACACACAGAATTTTGTATTTGTGCTAGATATAATCTGTCCATTCTGCTTATGTCCTGTCTATGAAAACCATCCTCGTTTGCTACAGAGAGTACGGTAAAATGTCTGCAGATTAATAGGCCCCCTCAGCTTGGATAACCTTACTGGGACTGGGTGTAGAAATTCATTTTCTATTTGTGCTGTGAGACTTTATGCATGTAGGAGGTGGTGTAGGGGATTACCTTAACTCTGGCTACTATTACCACATGACTAGTTAAGAGTGCAGGTACAAGCAGCTTTTTACCCAGTTTAATAGTGTCTGACCGAGAGCAGTGACTCTTAGATGGGGACTGCGGAGTGCTAGTCTCCTGAGCCAGCCTAAGAGCAGGTGCTTTTTATCTATTCTGGTGTGTAGAAGAACCTAGTTTATCTCGTGCATAGAATAAGCTGGCTAGACAACACGGTCAGAAAGAGTCATGTTTCAGAATGTTGACGTTTGAGCATTTACGTATAAAATCATCCTTGTTTTGATGCTTATATGCTTAGTACTTGAATCAGACTGGCTCCTTCCAGATGCATGTATCTTTGCCTGATTTTTCAATCTGGGTAGAAGTTGATGGTTAGGTCCACAAACCTTTTATGATGATCTTCAGGTTAAATGTCTTTTGGAATCAGAATTTTTCAGATTTTTAGAATGGCAGTGTGTGTTGTGTTGATGTTCAGCAAACATTAACCAAAGTGCATATCTTTATGTTACACCCCAGAGGACTGGACAACACCCTGTAACCAAGAGGATTCTTATTTCTGTAGCCTAAGAAATGAATATTCAGCGCCGGTAGGATAACTAACGCCATAATAGCCTCAACTTAGTTGGGTGTTGCCACCTTAGGTGTTCAGATTCAGGTCAGATCCTGCCCACTAGGAAATTCCACACAAAAACTTTAGTTTTCATAGCTTCTTGGGTTTTGAAATGGCCAATAATTGATGGTAGATTAACAATTCTACACATTTTCTTGACCTCACTCTCTTCCATTCTTCCCATTTTATTCAGATTTGTTAAAATGGCTACCATAGGTCATTAAGGTCTTGACCAAGTTTGTTATAGAAACTAAGAAACTATAAGGAAACACCAGATTTCAAAGAGAAAGGATTGTGCCTTAAATATTTCCATAGCATCGGTATCTTCTTGGCTTCTGTGAAACCTCTTGAGGCTAGCACAGGAAGCTTTTCACTAGTCAGCTCCAGACTTTCTAGGTATCTAATGTTCCTTATTTTAGATCTTTTATATTCTAGATATCTAATATTTCTGATCTAATATGAAGAACACTACTGTATAAACTTCTTAATTAAATGTTCCTGGCTGATAGTGGCCAAGGTGCTCTGGAATACTGGGTTAGAACCTTGAAGCTGGGTTGACACACCACTGATTCGGTATGCTTCCTGCCCCACACTGCAAATAATGTCCCTAAATATAGAAACCTAAAATAAAAGCAATTCCTATATTCTGCAAGTCTTAAAAGTTGTCAGACCTACTGGATAGCCAGGTTTTATACAGACACAGAAGAAGTTAATTTGAAATATCAACTGGCAGTGTTTGAAGTCAGTTTCTTGTCATGCCATCTTGTTTTGTCCATAGCAAAGAGAGAGGTTCTGTTTCTCTCTCAACTCTTTTTAGAGGGAGAAAATAGTCTATAAGTTTCTCTGTGCTTAAGGATTTTAAGGCTGGCTGTTTGCTATATTATAACCCTTTGAATGAGGAAACCTGTTTGGACTCTTAGTGTTGTAAGGTGAATGAACACCCTTCGTGATTCCAGGCATCTTGAGATACTGCTTCAAGTGAGGTTTAGAGAGTAAGAAGACGAGGGAAGTGGCTGACAGACGCTCACCAACTATGATGTCTGCCAACGTGCTACTCAAATGTTTGTAAATTCCCATGACTAATTATGAATGGGGAGATTTTCCGAAAGTCAGTTTTACACGAGTACATCATGGGGGACAAGGGTGGGCACTTGACATCTTATCTGTGTAATAATGAGAGTTGCCAGCATGTGAGAAGATGATAGGAGTGGCACATCAGTCAACCAAGGCTGTCTGGTGCAGGGGCAGGCTATGGCCCCCTTTCATGTGCCCATGCCACATCAGTGTAGGATTCAAGTTCTCTGTGTTTAAGAGAGTTTACTGCTTATGAGCCTCTAGGAAGTAGATGTCCTGTCCCATTCAGGAAACAGTGCCTTGCCTGAATGCAATACATGTTTGTTGGGGGTTAAAGTGTTTATTTTGTACTAGAGATGTTTTATATAAAAAATCTTCAAAATAAATAGCTGTTGGGTTTAAAGGGTTGGGCTCGAGCGGAAAATACACACATTACCTCATGGGTTTTTTATAGGAGTCATTATTAATCCAGTTTGTTCCACCAGCTTCTTCTTATACATAATATAAAAACTAGTGGACAATTAAACTGCAGATTTGTTTATGACTTTTTAAGAGTATCCCTTGCTTTATACCTTGGGCTTCCCAGTGGCCTGACAGTGCTTGGGATGTGAAACAACTTCTGAATAGCTGTATTTCTTAATGTTTCTACAGCTCACTGGGCTCGAACTACTGCTCAGAACCCTGAGCTGGACAGCCCTCCCTGGGTCGCTCATAGTCAGGACACAGCACAAGCCCGTGTTCCTGAGGGAGCAGGGTTTCCTGTGCACTTTACAGTAAGGGTCCCTCAGAGATGCATCACAGCCAGGCTGAACTACAGGGTCCCTGCCTGCCTTGGTTTCCACCAGGTGGTGGCTGGGCCTAATGCCCCTTTGATCTACTAGGTATCATCCCAGTGTCCTCTCTGGGGTGCTTTTTAAATCATTGCCCTGCATTTCTTGCCCTCATTCCTACTTTGTCCTCGACCCTCTGGAAATCCTCTTACTGGGCTAAGCAATAGCCCTAGAGCCTCAGCCTCTTGGTTTCACCTCCTCAGCTTTCTGAAACATGGTTTTTCTCTCAGGCTTCTTTGTGTCCCCCAAGCCTGTGGGAGTGAGATCATAGTCTTCCTTTTCTCCAAGGCCCATTCTAGACCTCATCCTCCACCCACTCTGTGGAAACCTTTCTCTTGACTAGGCCTCATTACTGCCATGTCTCCTGATCTGCTTATTTGCCTTTTTTTTTTTTTTTTTTTTTTTTTAAATAGCTTAGCTGTCTCCGAGTCCTTTCCCTTCTTGCCAGGTTACCCATCAGCTCCTCGATCCCTAACCCTCCATGGTTTCCTGAATTTTATCTTCTGCATCCTTGTCATCATACAGACCTGTATCTGAGCACAGCCTCTGTCCTCCTGGTTTTTCACTTAGTCGCTTCCAGACCACCTGCTCTGTTTTTTTCCTTTTTAAAAAAGCAGCTCTTTTTTGGGAGTGTAACTGATTTCATTTCTTTTGATGGCTACATAGTATTACATTGTGTGTATACATAGATAGCACATCTTCTTTATCCCCAGTGGTTTATTTATATATTTATTTATTTTTAATTTCTTTTCGGTGTACCAGAATTCATTGTTTATGTACCAC